TGTCTGCGCCTAGGGATTGGGCCTGCCTTCTGCCACCCGGGAGCAGGCCTAAGCCAGCAGGTCGTTATCTCCCGAGGGGTCCCAGACTGCAAGAGGGCACAGGCCGGGCTGAGGAACCCCCCTTACCCCCCCCCCACGAGTTCACAAAATTTTGTGCACCAGGCCTCTAGTATATATATAAATCCAAGCAACTGTTATGGTGGAATGACCAGAATGATCGAAATGACTGGTCGCTATGATGTGCACTGACCACCACACCTAGGGATTGGGCCTGCCCTCTGCCACCTGGGAGCAGGCCTAAGCCAGCAGGTCGTTATCTCCCGAGGGGTCCCAGACTGCAAGAGGGCACAGGCCAGGCTGAGGGACCCCCGTTCCCCACCCCCCGCGAGTTCACAAATTTTTGTGCACCGGGCCTCTAGTATATATATATAAATCCAAGCAACTGTTACGGTGGAATGACCAGAACGATTGAAATGACTGGTCGCTATGATGTGCACTGACCACCAGGGGGCAGCTTCTTCATTGAGCATCTGCCCCTGGTGGTCAGTGCACTCCCACAGTGGGAGCACCACTCAGCCAGAAGCCAGGCTCACTGGGTGAGAGCCTCTACTGCCTCCAGCAGGCACAATCTCCACTGAACAGACTGCAGTCCCGACCCCCGGGTGGTAGGGGTGTAGCTGAAATGACCATAGATCAGCCACCATTGGCCCCTGGAACTCTCCTTTCGGACCCTGCGGCTGCACCCACCCCTTGCCTATTGCCCTCTGGGCCTCCGGATGCAGGCTTGGGAAAAACCCACAGAGGTGCTTCATGCACATACTGTATGGGCCGCCCCCGGCCCCCATCTCGAGAGCGAGTGCTGGTGAAGTCCAGCCGGTGACCCACACTTATCTGCAGGTGAGCCCTTCACAACTTCCACCTACCACCCGCCCCGGCGCCATCGCCCGGAAAGGTCCACATCCTGGCACCAAATACCCGCTCCTGGATCCCTGCAGAACACTGGTCAGCTCCGGTGGTGGAGGGGCACCAGCAGGTGCTGGCCTGACATGAACCATTCGGGTAGCCCCACACTTGGGCCGGGAGTTGCGTGGAAAAATACCCCCCATACCCTGCAGGTTCAATCTACTGTGAACCGATGCAGCGTGGAATGTTTGGCCTGGGATGACACCAGCCCCCTGGATCCCTTTGGGCATCGGGGCCTAGTTCCACCCCTTAGCTATCACCCTATTCCTTTGGATGCGGAACTGAAATACTAAGAACACATCTTCCAGGAACCATGATCCTCTCTCTCCTTCCTCCCTACCACCCCCAGCTGCCACTTCCAAGCCAGACAGGTCCCCATCTCTGGATAGAGTCCCGGAAAAAGTGAGAAAATTCCAGTCTGAGGAGCGGGTCTCCCACGCCTGACTGCGACCAAGCCCATCCTGCCCTTCCTGGGCCTGGCCGGCATCTGGGCTCCTACGTTCCCTCTGGCTCCTGGGCGGCTCCCTCGGATGGACCCCAGGCGGTGGGGCACCCGAGGCCACCCGCAGCTCAGCCAGAAGTTGCCAGGAGGCACATACCCCGGAAGCCTAAAGGTGCAATCTTCGGGGAATGGATGAAGCGCGGACACTTGGAGAAACTGGGATGAGCCTGATATCACCGCCTGGCTCCTGGAACTCTGCCTCGGGCACCGAGATCAAATCTCATCCCTTACCGATTGCCCAGGAGCTACAGAGGAAGGTAGCAATATAAAAGTGGCCACAAGGTGGCGACTGACTATGGGGGTAAAAGTCAGAGATGGATCTATTCTAAAGGGTGGGAGTGTGGGCGAGAGAGCACCCGGCCCCCCAACTTTGTATTCTTCACCTCGGAGCATCTCTTATCTGGCTCCGAGCCGTGTAAAGCATCCAGCACAGCCCAATGCGTCCACCGGGGACCTCCCAGCCGGCAAGGCGTGACCCTGGCTGCAGAAGGGACATTTGGAAATATTTTTTTCAAGAAGCTGCTGGGTGGACAGACTCCCCACGGGACTTCCAGGCAGCTCACAGGGATGTGGAAACTCCCCCTGGCTCGCAGGCGCCGGCTCCCGATTTTTTTTTTCAATGTGCATGAATCTATGCATTGGGCCACTAGTTACACTAGTAAAAGCAGCTGCGGACAATACACAAATGAATGAATGTGGAATGTGATATATATCACAAAATAGTTTTCTTTTGATCTTTATTCAGCCATTTAAACTGTAAAAAAAACATTCTTACCTTACAGATCATCCAAACTGAGGCAGTTAACCACTTTTAGCCCATGGAGACACACACACACACACACACACACATAGTTATTCATATAAATATAGACAGATATTTTTATCTCCATTAGTAAAATGCATGCCATGTTTTTTCACTCGCTTGGCATATGAGCTTAAAATGGACACGGAGCATCACCAGGACACCACGCAGGCTGTGGGCATGGGGAAGGTCTGGACTTCAGAGCACATCTTTGACCACCCATGGGAAACTGTTACCACAGCTGCAATGCAGAAATACTCAAACCCTATGAACCCAAGTGCGGTTGGAATTGATGTGTTGGACAGACATACAGATTCTGGATAGCTGCACAGCCATAGATTTCTCAGCACAGTGGGGTCTGCCTTTCATTGTGAAATTTCTTTTTCTTAAAAAATGTTTTTGTCGGTTTTAGAGAGAGAGGAAGGGAGAAGGATTAAGTGATAGAAACATTTATGAGAGAGAAACATCTATTGGCTTCCTCCTGCATGCCCCCTACTGTGGATCAAGCCTCAACCCCGGGCATGTGCCCTTACCGGGAATCAAACCAGTGACCTCCTGTTTCATGGGTCGATGCTTAACCACTGAGCAACATCAGCCGGGCATGAAATCTCTTACTGGCGTAGCAGGAACCAAAACATATGTGCAAGAATATTCTGTTATTGATCCTGCAGAGAAAATAGTGGAACTTAAATCCACTAATATTTCATTTATGGATATGGTTTCAGTAGATGAGAGACTTATATAAAAACCACATGACCAGGACCCAGTAAAAGCTGTTTTGACTCACGAGGCTATAATCATGGTGTCAGAAGTCAGTCTCTGTAGTCACCTGAATGGACTGATGGCAAGTATGATATCTTCAAATGCTGATAAAGGCCAAGAAACAATGGAATGGGTAATGCTGAGACCAAGAATTGTCAGCTCCGGCAAGAGGGAGCATAATGACGCCAATGGCGGCAGCAGCATTTGTAGAGAAATGATAAAAGTTGGTCCACAACACCCAGTCCTCCAGATCTCCACTAGCGGGCATTATACTTATTTATTATTTAAAAATACAACTATATTTTAGGTAGGATATTTTTAATAAGCTGAAGAGAGGCTACGTGACTTGCTTAAAACAAAGAGGTGCAGGGTTGCTAAATAAAGGGGATCACCTGACATTTTTAAAAATTGACATGAACTTCTAGGAATTGTGTGACAGAATCTTTCATGAAGTTCTTCCCATTTCACTGATATTAGGTCCAAAGTAGTAATTCTCCTTACTGCTTTTTAAACCTTCAGAGAAATGATATTATCAGTAAGACAATAATGTATTAGATGCTCAACTTTTGTGATTATTTGTATTACAGTATAAGTCTGGATAATAAAGTGCAATGACCAGCTGAGTCATCAGAGGACTAGGTCGTGAACTGAGAACAACATTCACTTCCTTTTCTGGGAGGTCAGGCCAAAACTAAAAGGTCAGGAAGGTCCCCAAACAGGTAGAACAGTCCTGTTTCAGCGTCACAACTCGCAAATTTAAGCGTGAGACAAAGCTTTGGTACAACCCAGAGCCTTTAATACTCTTTCATATGTGAGGATATGGGTGGACCAGAGTCCTAGGTACAATTAGGTGAGTTAATTATCGGGCTGGAATTGACAACTTGAAAGCTGATCACATCAGGGCCATTTAACTAGGTTTACTTCCATGCTTATGGTGGCCCTTTAGCTAAGTTTTATTGTTTATATGTTCTGGTATAAACAATATATATATATATATAATCTAATATATATATAAATTTCATTTATTTTATTTTTTGTTAAAAATAGGATATTTTTATCCTATTTTTAGTCCTAGTGAGGACTAAAAATAGGATATTTTTAACAAAAATATATTCTTTCTATTGACTTCTTAGAGAAGAAGGAGGTGTGTGGGGGAGAGAAAGAGAGAGAAACATCGATGTGGGAGAGATGTTGGTTGCCTCCTGCACTGGCCTCCATTGGGGCTGGTGATCAAACCTGCAACTGAGGTACATGCCCTCGACTGGGAATCAAACCCTAGACATGTTGGTGCAAGGGCTTATGCTCTAACCACTAAGCACACTGGCCAGGGCTTTTTGTATTTTTTAATTAACTAAACCAACTTTCAGAGTCTATTTCAGGGAATGTTTCTGTCATTCATTTATATAAACATAGATTATATAATCTCAGCTGGGAGAGATGGGAGAATGGAAGAAAAAAACTAAGAGGAATGATGTTCATACCTGTGCAGCTTACAATAGCTAATATTTGGAAACAGCCCAAGTGCCCATCAGCAGTGGGTAAAAAAGCTGTGGTACAAAATGGAATACTACTCAGCTGTAAAAAAGAAGGAAATGTTACCCTTTGTGATAGCATGGATGAACCTGGAGAGAAAGCATTATGCTAAGTGAAATAAGCCAGTCAGAGAAAGATAAGTACCATATGATTTCATATAGCCTATGGCACAGACAATTGCGTGGTGAATGTCTGGGCGGGCAGGTATAGGGTGGAGGGGTCAATGGGGAAAACAACAAAGGAGACATCTATAATACTTTCAACAATAAAGATAAATTTAAAAGGAGAAGAATGAGGAATAGTAAAATTCTTTTTCTTGATGTTCTTTCTTTCTTGCTATGGGCAGATCCAATACTTAGCTAGATGTAGACTATTTGACTCTTTTTATTCTTTAGAATACACATCTCTTTTGGAGAAGGCTTGATTCACAGATAATATTTGTTGCTTTATCATATGAAAGAGTTGTAAATGGAACAACATCAGGTGTTTGTTTTTTCTTAGAATTAAACTTTTCTTCTTTTTTACTGTTTAACTTATTGAAGAGGCAATATGTGGTGCTTGATTCCCAACTAATCTATAATTCCCATTCCCTCCATCCTCCTCCTCTGAACTCATTTTGAATTTTTATCTTATTATTTTACAGCTCAGAAAACACACTTCTATCATATAATATTGAATTTCTTTTTGAAATAACTTAGTTCAGAATTATACTTCTGAATCTTAAAAGTACCTTTACAAATCTTTATTGTTGAGTGTATTATAGATGTTCCCCTATTCCTCCATTGCCCCTGTCCACCCAATTCCCATTCCACCCCAGTCTTCACCACTCCATTGTCTGTGTCCATATATGCATATAAGATCTTTGATTAACATCTTCCCCCACCCCAACCCCGTTCTCCTTCTGAAATTCATTAGTTTGTTCCATGTTTCCATGCCTCTGATTTTATTTTATTTGCCAGCTTATTTTGTTCATTTATTTTGATTTATAGCTTCAGTTGTTGATAGATATGTATTTATTGCCATTCTATTATTCATATTTTTCTTTTTTTCTTCTTCTTCTTCCTCTTCTTAAAGGATACCCTTCAACATTTCATGTAATACTGGTTTGGTGGTGATGAACTCCTTTAACCTTTTCTTGTCTGTGAAGCTCTTCAAATGAAAGCTTTGCTGAGTAGAGTAATCTTGGTTGTATGTCCTTGCTATTCACCACTTCAAATATTTCTTACCACTCCCTGCTGGCCTGCAGAATTTCTGTTGAGAAATCAGGTGACAATCACATGTCTCTTGTAGGTACCTAACTGCTTTCCTCTTGCTGCTTTTAAGCTTC